GGCGTTCGGGACGGTCTCGCCGCAGCCCCAGGCCCGGCCCACCCTGTCTGCGGGGCGCTCGGACCCAGCCCGCCGAGTCCGCGGGGCCGCGATCGCCCCGGGAAGAAGAGCCCGAGCGGGACCGGAGTTGCGGGTCGGAGGAACCCGCGCCGCCCCCTGCGGGGAGGCGGGGTCCAGGCCTGGGTCCGTCCGGAATCGGTGCTGTCTCCACCGAGCTCTCTCCGTGGAAGAGGAAGAAGTCTTAGGGTAGATTAAGCCAAAACATCCACCCTTAGGAGGACGTCTCCGCTCCGTGTGATTTTGAGGAGCGCAGTACCGCAGTGGGCCAGAGTCAGCCCCTTGTGGCCCACGTTTCTGAAGGCTGTCGGGGTTCTGCGTGTGCCCGTTTAGTCTCAGCCTCTTGGGTACCAAGTGTTGGTTAAAAATGATGTGTGATGAGCTTCAAGGAAGGAACGAGTAAAGAAAAAAATGATGTCTGAGTTAGTTAGAATGGCTGGATGTGCGTATTTCTTGAGGCTCCTTCCAGAAAGTGAGAGAGGTCGCAGGCTTCTCATGGACTTGTGAAGGTCCCTTCTTTGTTTTCTTATTTTCTCTGAAGGGGCCCTATTCCAAAAACTGCATCATTCTTATTCTGTCTAAGATTATCTCCACCCGCTCGGTTTCCCATAGTGGTTTTGAAGTAAAGCTGAAGGATTTATATTGAGGTTGCACACCTAGCCTATGAGTGGCTTTTGCAAAAACATCAAAGGTCAAAGATGCTGTGAAAAGCCTTAGGTTGCCCCAGACTTCTCCCACCCCTTCCAGTAAGAAAGGGCAGTGAACCTGGACGAGAAGGGCTGTGTGCTGGGGAGCCAGGGGGTTGCTCCCTGCACCCTCTCCTCTAGCTCTCCAGGGTCTCAGCCTGGCGTCTGGGGATGAATAAGTGAGACCTGTGGTTAGGTTGGAATGTGACCCTCATCTTTCCACCCTTCCAGGTAACTTTTGAGAGAGCCACGAGATTCCGTGCAGCTGCAGTTGCTCCATAGAGGGAGAGCACTTGGTCAGGCCTTGGGCCCATCCCGTGAAGATTGCGCCCCAGGATTTCATTAAGGGAAAGCGTTGTCCAATATCTAAGTCCCAATCCTTGGTAGAATTTTAAACTACTCAGTGGCAACAAGTCTCACATGGATGCTGTATTTACTTCTAAGTTACCTGATTTTAACCAGAGAGAATTTGGGAACTCTGCAATGTCACTGGACCATTGAAAAGTCAAGCATGAAAGTGTGTTTACTCATACAAAAGCTGTCCTTTAAGCTACTCATGGATATTTGTTTTCATAAGTATTGACCCTCCCACTGCAATGTATAGATACATTACTTTATAGAACTTGAAATTGAGGAAAGGGTGAGTTTTACTTAAAGTGCTGTTTTAATAATTTTTAGAGAATTCTTAGCTTCTGATATTCTTTATCAAACTAGAAGGAGAGGAGGATCATAATTATATACTGACATGTATGTATTAATTCATTTAATCTTCATAATGATTCCCTTAAGGCTAAGTGATGTGCCCAGGGCTATAGAGCTAGTAAACAGTAGAAGTAGAACTGGAACTCAAGGGGTTCCAGAGACCCTGCCGTTAAGATTAACCACTGTACAATGAATGACTAAGGTGCTTGGTTGCCCAGATCTGGTGACACTCGGGCAGATCCGAGTCCTGTCTGTGAAGTGTTTACGTGAGGTGGTTTCTCCCAAAAGGCAGCAGCAGAGGCTACTAAACAGCTCTCACAGTGGACAGGCTGGGCCTCTGGTGGCCTCTCGGTCATTTGAACAGATCGTTCATGATCAAGAGACCCTCACTCCACCCCAGCCTTAGAGCTTCCTCACCTTCTGATTATTCACGCGTGCACACCAACCCCTTCACTGGGTGTAGGACTGAGGACACAATGGGGAAGAAGGGGTGCATCTGAGGTGGCCAGCTCGCTCATGGGTGGTCAGAGAAGTCGAGGTTAATTAGTAGTACTGGCCCTCGATTTTTAACTTAGACTGAATTCCCCTTGATTTTTCCCCAAGGCGGATATTTAAAGATATTAATTCAGTAATGGGTGGATTGAACAGCCTTTTCTTTTTGGTCAGGATGGTTAGTTTTGAGGAAATTGCTGATTCAGGTCCCAGAGTTGGATCAGAATGCCTGTGATTCAGGTCGGTTGGAGCTGTTGGAAGTAGTCGTATATCTCTTCTTTGGCATGTGGAGAATCTTAGACCTTAAGGAGATTTTAGAGATGGTCTCACTGGATCCCTTCATTTCTGAGGAGACTATTGCTCAGAAGAACTCTGTGGTTTGTCCAAGAGTGGATATATCTTTTATATTTTTTCAGATGGAAACATATAGAGTGAATTCTAACCCTGAGTGTATCTAATACTTCCTTGTATCTCATTAACCTCTTCAAATTTAAAGTGAGACAAGGTAAATAACGTAAAACACCAACACTGATACACTGTCTTGACAGGTGGTTTTCAAGTGTTTTGTTGATCTCAAAAGAACAGGTTTTTATTTTTTTGACTTATCTTTTCTATTTTATTGGCTTATTGTCTGATCTTTTAATATTTCCTTTCTTCCTTTACTTTGGGTTTAATGTGCTCTTTTTTCTAGCTTAAACTGAGTTCATTGATGTGAACCCTTTCTTAGGTACTAAGCCATATAAATTGACCTGTAAGTATTACTTTAGTTGTATTCCTTTCAATTTTGGTATGTTGTGTTTTCATTTTCGGTCAATTCAAATTATTTTCTAATTTTACTTTTGATTTCATCTTGCCCCATGAATAGTTTTATTTTTATCTTTATTTCTATATTTTTTTTTCCGAGTTGGAGTCTCACTCTGTTGCCCAGGCTGGAGTGCAGTGGCACGCTCATGGACACCACAGCCTCTACCTGCTGGGTTCAGGCGATCCTTCTGCCTCAGCCTTCCAAGTAGCCCAACTGCAGCACGCGCCACTACACCCAGCTAACTTTTTGATTTATTGTAGAGGTGAGGTCTTACCAAGTTGCCCATTCTGTTCTTGAACCCATGGGCTCATGCAGTCCTCTCACCTTGGCCTCCCAAAGTGCTGGGATTACAGGTTTGAGCCACCGCGCCCAGCCTCTATTTCTATTTTTTTAAGAATAGAGAAGAGGTCTTACTATGTTGCCCAGGCTGGTCTTGAACTCCTGGGCTCAAGCAATCCCTGCCTCAGCCTACAAAAGTGCTGGGATTACAAGTATGAGTCACTGTGCCCGGCCCCCATGGATTATTTTAGAAGTATGCTATTTCGTTTCCATTTGTGGATTTTCTGGATATCTTTCTGTTACTGATTTCAAATTCAGTAATTAATTTGAAACGGTCAGAGAGTATACTCTGTATGACTTAAATCCTTTGAGATGTGTGCAGGCTTTATGACCCAGCATGCGGCCTGTCTGGGCGGTGTTCCTTGTGTACATGCTCCATGTGTACTTGAGGAAGATGCGTTCTGTACTCCACAGTGTGTTACGCTGTTTGTTGCTAGGTGGAGTATTCTATGTCATAATGCTTTGTAAATATCAGCTAAGGCAAATCGATAGTGTTGCTCAAGTCATCTGTATTCTTCCTTTTCTATTTGTTCTCGCAATTATTGAAAGAGATAGGACTATAATTCTGAATTTATTTCTCCTTGTAATTTATCTGTTTTTGCCTCATGTAGTTTGCATCTCTGTAATTAGGTGCTAAAATGTTTAGGATTATTATGTCCTCTTGATGAGTTGGCCCCTTTAATATTATGAAATGACTATTATCCCAGGTGATATTGTTTGTCTTGAAATCTACTTTGGCAAGTATTAACATGTGCACTAATCTTTCTTTTGATTAGTGTTAGCAAGGTGTATCTTTCTTTGTCCTTTTAACTGTTTCTGTATTTATATTTAAAATGTGTTTCTTGTAAGTCTTTTTGGGTCTTGCTTTTTTAAAAATTCAGTCTGAAAATCTCTGCCTTCTAATTGGGATGTTTTGACTGTTTACATTTCATGTAATTATTGATATGGTTAGGTTTAAGTCTGTCATTTGCAAATTATTTTTTAGTCTGACCTTCTGTTCTTTGTTCCCCTTTTCTTCCTCTACCTTTCTTTGAATTAATCAGTTTTTCAATGTTTTTTAAATTTTGGCTTAAAAAATGATTCCATTTTATCTCCTTTATTGGCTTAGTACCTGTAGTTCTTTTTATTATTTTAGTGGTTATTTTAGGGTTTATGGCATACATAAACCCTAAAATACCTTCAAGTTATATACCTTTTCATGTATAGTGCCTTATAAAAGTGTCCGTCTATTCTTTCCCTCCTGGCCTTTACGTCTCACATTTTATATGTTATAAACTTCAAACTGTGTTGCTGTTGTTATGCTTAAACAGTTGGTTATCTCTTTAAAAGATGTAAATAAGC